TACTGCTTCTGCTGCTCTTGGTGCTGCTGCCTCGACTGCGGTTGGTTGTCCTACATCTACTGTTTCTGGCCCTGCTGCCCGTTCCAAAATCGATCGTAGCTACCCTCTCTCTAGCCCTGTTATTGTTAACAAAGAGGACACCATGTCCAGCGGCAAAGTGGAACTCCTGGGCNTGTTGCACCCGGCTATACTGCTTCTGCTGCTCTTGGTGCTGCTGCCTCGACTGCGGTTGGTTGTCCTACATCTACTGTTTCTGGCCCTGCTGCCCGTTCCAAAATCGATCGTAGCTACCCTCTCTCTAGCCCTGTTATTGTTAACAAAGAGGACACCATGTCCAGCGGCAAAGTGGAACTCCTGGGCGACAATGTGGAAATCCTCGGCTACGAACCCGAGGGCGAGGCTCCCACCGCAGAGCAGTTTCCAGCGGCGGGTGCAGAAGCCTAGAGCCCCTCCATGCCTAGGTGTTCACCGTCGATGATTTGCTGGACAACATCGCCACAGCAGATCCGACGGAACTGGAGCGAGCCTACAACACCGGACGTGTCTCTCTGGAGGATATGGTAGAAGCGGCCCATCTGTCGTCCGATTCCCCCCTTTTCGTTCCTCCTTTCTCGCTCCCGCCGGAAGACAGATTATTCCTCTTGCCCCACGACGAGTTTATGGCGTACCAAAGGTTGAACGAGATGTGGTGCGACGGTCTTGCCGGGAAGATAGCAGAGGCGGAGGCGCGAGAGCAGCCGAAGCGCGAGGACGCGGGGCGCTTGGCGGACGGGAGGCTGCTCTGGCTGCTGCGGCGAGGAAGCAGGAGGAGGAGCGTGAGGCTGTTCGGGCTGCTGCGGCGAGGAAGCAGGAGGAGGAGCGTGAGGCTACTCTGGCTGCTGCGGCGAGGAAGCAGGAGGAGGAGCGTGCGGCTGTTCTGGCGAAGCGAGAGGCGTATCTCCAAGCGGCTAGGGCGAAGCGGGGGGCGCTCCGATCGCGGCTGAAGGAGCTGGAGCCCCGCCACCAGGACCCGCGAGCAGCCCGCCACCCCCGTCGCCGTGTTATTGTCCCCCCCCCTACGCAAACCCCTCCCGCAACCCACGCAATCACCTCCCGCAATCTAGACTTCAGTGGGTTGGCGCTGTTGGCAAAGCGCTGTAAAACACGCCACCCCAAATATAGCCC